AGAAAAAGGATAAGGGTAGAATAAAGGAATTTTGAGATGTGTAAGGTCTCTAAACCATTGTAGAATGGAATGTGTTCCACGCAAACAAGGAGGTAAAAGAACAAAGTACAACCACAGGGTCGAGAAAACAGAATCCAGCTGTGTAGTTGGTCTGAAGAGTGACCAGTCTAGTCTGGAGCAGGAGGTCCAGGGACAGAGGCTTATTTCCAATAAAATATGGATTGATAGATTAGCCATTGGAGGAGTATTATAGTTCAGACAGAGATGACTAAGTGGACAGGACCCTAGAAAATAGAATAAAGCAAAATTTGAGTTAATTATTAACTCCAGGGAAAATGAACAATTGCATAAGAGTGGAAATATAAATGATGTGGTTCGGCCATGAACAAGATTTATGTGGTCGTATTAATATAAAAGTGAATATATAATATAATCACATTGGGAATAAGTGAAGGAAAATGGTATATGAATGGTGGTATAAAAGAGATCATTCCTCACCCTGACTGGTGTGGCTCAGTTGGTTGGAGCATCATCCCATAACAGAAAGGTTGTGGGTTCAGTTCTTGGTCAGGGCACATGCCTAGGCTGCAGGTTCAATTCCCAGTCCGGGCATACAGGAGGCAACCAATAGATGCTCCTTTCTTGTATCAATGTTTCTCTCTCTTCCTCTCTCCCCTTCACTCTCTAAAATATCCTTGGGTGAGGATTAAGAAAAAGAGAGAGATTACTCCTCATATTCCACAGTAAGAAATCAATAAATAATGTATAAAATGGAAAAAGCAAGAGAGGCAGTAGGAACCTATTATTGGAAATACAGGGGTAAACATGAGAAAATGGTTAAAGAATTGTTTCTGAGAAATGGGAAACATTGTGGGTAGGGATAAGAAGAAGATCTATTTTTTTAATTTAATCCTTGCCCCAGGATATGTTTTTATTAATTTTAGAGAGAGGGAAAGGGAAAGAGAGGGAGAGAAATATCAATGCAAGAAACATGGATTGGCTGCCTCCTGTATGCACCCCGACTGTGGGGATCAATCCCACAGCTTAGGTATGTGACTCGACTAGAACTGAACCCACAACTTTTTGGTGCACGGGACAGCACTCCTACCAACTGAGCCACACAGGCCAGGGCAAGGATTTTTTTTTAAATAAGTAGGGGTTTTCTGGGATAGTCCTAGTTTAGCTTTGTGAGTCTAGCATAGTTTTATTATTATTGTCCCTTTTACTCTCAAGATCATCCTAATTTGGATGTAGCCTTGAAGTGTAATTTGACTTTTAAAACTATGTATGGTTAAAAATTTGACAAAATATAAAATGAAAAGAGAGGGCTCTTTGGATCCTAAATAAAATAAATCTGTTTCATCCAGCTCAGCAAAGACTTTCATTTTATTTTCCTCTAAAATTAATTCTTCATTTAAAATTAAATATAAGCAGTATGCCTGTTTCAAAGCACTTTTTACATTCACTGCCTCATTTAATCCTTACAACAGCTTCACGGGGTAAACATCCTATCTCATTTTATAGATGATAAAAGTGTGGTTTAGAGAGGTCCTGTGACTTCATAACAAGGTGACACAGTATATCAATAATAGTCTACACTGGCCGGGGCCTGCTGATGATGGCTCTCATGCTCATGACACACAATGAAATGACACGGCGTTTAAGCCATCCCACAAATGAACAGAATCTGAGATGGAAAACCAAGGATCCAAATTAATAGCCTAGCTGTTAGAAAAACAGATTATGAAAAACAGTGAAAAATTCAAACTTCCTTTTGTCAGCCTGGTCTTGCAACAAAAATTCTAATTAGTTCACCCAATTAGGTGTAGTGGAAACTGAAATCACCGTTGCGGAAAGACAGCCCACACCTGTCTTGGGGTCCCAAAGGATGAATCTCTGCTCCTAAACCTCCAGACCAGGGAAGCGATTCTAATGGTTGTCTTATTTTTAGAAACATACCTTAAAAAAAAAGAAACATACCTTAAAATTATCAAAGTAATGCATAATTAGTTCAGAAAATAATAAAATAGAGGTAAAGTACAAAAGAAAAATTGAAATAATCTAAATCTGATCACCTAAAGATGAATATGGTGAATATTTTAGTGTATATATCTCTCTTTTTCTTACACAAATGCAAAAATATGATCATATCATGCACACTTTTCAGCAGTCTGCTGCTCCCCCTAAAAACTGCATTTTGGACATGATTTTAAGTCTATAATCATGTCTATATCTTTCCTTTTAGTGGCTGCCTAATAGTTCATCTTTTGGATTACTCTCTTTGACCAATCCTCCATTGCTAGATACTTGGATTGTTTTGTTTTTTCTTTTTTTTTTCTATTATTAACTTTATTCAACAACAAAACTCTACACACACATCTCTGTGTACATGTCCCATTATTTCCTCAGGATAGCTTCCTTGGAGTGAGATTACTGTGCCAAAGAGCAAGAATCTCAGGCTCCCTTCTAACTCACATTGTGAATTGCCCTTCTAAAGGTTACACATTCCCATCAGTAGAGGATGTAAATGTCCATATCTCTATATCTCTCCAACCCCACAAACAAGAATTGTCACGAGTTCTTTAATTCCTACTTTCTCTAATATTTTTCCTACCTGACATCTGGCCTGACTGGTTCTATCTTAAGCTCACACCCCAACTTTCCCCATCTGCCTCTCATATTATTTGAGTTTGGATTAGTCTTTCCTCACCTGAGAATACATCCCTTTGATGTAAAGAACTTTACCCTGCATATCAAGGTCTGGACAGCAACACGCCCAGTAACAGCGTCACTGTGACATGCCCAAGAATTCTGAAATTTCAGAACCAAGTTTGTTAGAATTAACTGTTTAATATAGTATCCCACATTGATTTACCAGTCTTGGAAACAAAGCCACATTGAAGCTAGTTAAGACATAGGAGCAGAGGCCCTGAGCTGCTGGTACATTCCTTTACCTCCTACTCTGATTCTTTCTCCCTGCCCCAGGGGCATCCCTTTCTAAGTCCTTCACTAGCTGTGCACTGAAATGCTTTTGTTTTATTTTAAAGGGGTACCATTTGAAGACTACATTCCCACAGTCCATTGTTTGCTTCTCATTGCTCATTCGCTCCAAGAGTGAGGATCACACCCCCATGCTTCCTAAAACTTCCACTCCTAGTTCAAAATACTTGATAGCTTTGCACAACGTTTGGCTAACGTTTCTCTTGTAATTCTTGGGTCTTTTCCTTCATGATCAAGAGGGCTGGTAGAACCAGCCGTGTTAAGTTTGCGTATGTAACCCCCTTCTCCCTCAGGACTGGCACAGAGACGTCATAAAGAGTATGCTCCAACGGAGTTAAATAAATACCGAACCAGGTACTGCGTGCTCCCTCACACTACTCATTTTGTAGAAGTTACTCTTGCTGGCGGTGCCCACACTCAGGAAGGGTAATGAAAGAAAACACAGGTTAACTTTGCACTGGGACATATTAACGTTCAACAACCTTTATCTTGGGAACTGAACGTTTCCATCCCTGGCATTTATCAATCCACCTCCGAAGGGAGGAAGAGAAGAAATTGTAACAGGAAGGGAACGAGTGGACCTAGGTCTAGCTGCCCTTTCGGCCAAACCTTTTCTAACACACAGGTACAAACTACATTCTCACCTGGAGACTGAAAATCACTGTTTTCTGGGTTTCACCCTCTACTACCTCAAACCAACCATGCCAAAATTTAACCAATTCACCAGGCCCTAGCATAAACATACTTTTCTAGTTTTACCAATTTTAGGAGGATAATTAAGTGACACATTTTTACAAAAATACACAAAGCGACACAGTCCAGAGTCCAACCCTCAGGCAAGATCAATTATTAAACATCTGCAGGGCAAAAGAAAAGAGGGCGGAGACTTTGGAGAGACAGCTCTGGGAGCTGTTTGGAAGCTCCGTGAAGGATTCAGTTCTACCGTGTCCCCAACTAAGCAGCCGGTGCTAGGCCACCGGGGTCCTCCGCTGGCCCGGAGTGCGCTCCCGCTGGGCCCCGCCCAAGGCCCCGCCCCGCCGCCGACGTCACTTGTTATGTCTCGGTTGGGTTTGCGGCCCCAGCCGGTCCCCTGCTCTGGAGACGACGGTCGCGGCCTCGCGAGGTAACCGCAGCGTTGGGTTCCGCCGCCGGGACCCGCGGCGGCCATCCAAGCGGGGCGGGCGCAACGTAGCTAGGGGACAACCCAATAGCCACCTGGGGAGCCATCTCGGGCCTGTTTTTCCTTTATTTCTCCAGGACCTTCGCCGTGCGCGCCCCATTGCCCTCTGCAGAGACCGCGACGCCCCCGCCCTGGTCGGGCCGCTCCACCCGCTGGCCTGAAAGGCGCCGCCCGCCGGCCGGAGCGAACCTGGAGCCGCCGCCACCGCCAAGCCTGCCGGGCTTCTCACGGAGCCTGGGTGGCCAGCGGAGCCTGGGCCCTGGGCACCGGGCGCGGCGCTGCGGCGTCCACTCCTCTCCGCGCGGGGCCCCGGGCCTGGCCCGGCCGAGTGCCGCGCCCTCCTGACTCGCCGCCGCGGGATCCCTGCCTGCCCCTCCGGCCCCGCCTGCAGCCCCGACCCTGTTTCCTTTGTGGATCGGAAATACATTTTTGGCTTCCCCGTTCCCTTTGAGATTACGGTGCTGGAAGGACGACCCGCCACCTCGGTCAGTGCCCCTTGCTTGGGCGGGCTCTCCCCGCGCTCCTCTCCTTTTGGTGTTTAATTGATGGGGCTTTAAAAGTTTTTTCCTTTTATTTTTCTCGCCTCTTGACTGGAAGGCCTGGAGCGAGGCTTTGCGCCTGTGCCCCTGGTCGTCTGGCCCTCACCCCACAGATACCCAAGTCCACCTGCCCCGGGCCGGGGATGTTCCGACAGTGACGGCGAGGGCCGAGCCGCACTCTCAGATCGTGCCCTCACCCAGGCCGGTGTGAACACAAACTCCCCCACCCTCCTCTTTTTCGTAGTCAGAGCTCTCTGCAAAGAGAGGAGACGCTGGGAAAGATGTGGCTGAAGCTTTTTTTCTTGCTCCTCTATTTCCTGGTCCTGTTCGTCCTGGCCAGGTTTTTTGAGGCCATTGTGTGGTATGAAACTGGCATCTTTGCCACCCAGCTGGTGGATCCGGTGGCACTGAGCTTCAAGAAGCTGAAAACCATTCTGGAGTGCCGAGGACTGGGGTACTCGGGGCTGCCCGAGAAGAAGGATGTGCGGGAGCTGGTGGAAAAGTCAGGCGAGTATCGGACTACCCTCATGTCTTCTTCACCCGGGGTGGGGAGCGACCTGTACTTCCTTGTACCTGGTGGTACCCCAGAATGAGGCCTTAGCTGGAAGAGTTAAGCCCATTCCTCCGAGAGCTGCCCAGTTTTTCTTTGTCTAGGTTGTCTACAAAAAACATGTGAATCCCCGTTTTGAGGAGTTTGGAATTATTTGTAGGATATAAGTGTGTCTTTTCAAGGTTATTTTAAAGTATAACAGTTTAAAGTGCACCTTCTTAGCATTGTTTATTAAGTTCACTGATTTTCTCAAAATTCGAGAATATTACAAACTGGAAAGCATTATTGTTTGTCAGTTGAAAATCATAACGATATAAGAAACCCCACCAAATTTGTCTGTACATAGCAATATTTGTCACCTTAATAATAGCAGGTTACCTTCAGGGATCATATTCGTTGAAATACTTAATGTCAAAGAGGCATTTAGGCCTAAGATTTAAACGTAAAATAATGAGTTTAAATAGGGAGAAAGTGTACACTGTACGGTATTAGTTTTTCATACTTTAAGTGTGGTGAAAATGAGGTGAATTTTTTTTGTGAATGCCTACCTTGTTCATTTTACGTTTCTGTTAGGGCTTTTTTAAAAAAAACCTTGTATTTTGGATGTAAACTTTTTTTTCCCCTTCTGTGTCGCAGGCACTGCTGCATCAACTTAAATGAGCTGAGAAATAGAATTGAAATAGTGCTAAGAGAAGACCATGTTAAAGAATGCATTTTCAATTACTGTTGGTTTTGGGGTAGGATTGGGTAAAAACTATGGTTAATTTTTTTCCACCCCTGCATGAAGTATATCCTTGTTTAGATATACTTCCTTGAAGGGGAATGTACTATCATATAAGAAAGGCATTCTAGATTGCTGTAGATAACAGTTGAAACTGATGGTTATCTTTTTTTGTTGTTTTAAGTATAGCTGTCAGCTATGTCTTTTGCAAGAAAAATATTTTCTTTATTTAGTACCCTATAGCTATATAAGTATGATAGACAAGAATATTAACCCCAGAGGATTTAGTACTCACATACTTGCAAGTTAAGGGTTATCAAACTCATATTTCCCTACTGGGATAGAGGAGGGAATCCTCTCTGTAAAAATGATATATTTTTCTTTAGAGGAAACATAAAATTGTCTATTATTCTTGCCTCTTGTTTACTGACTGGTTAATGGTGACTTTTATATTTGGGTGGGGGGAATGGAATAAAGTAGATCTCTAATAAGTAAACTCTCTAGGTTTGGAAATAATGTCTTAACTGCCAAAGCCAAATCATTTTTCATGATAAAACAGTTTGATAACATAGTTTTTTTCCTTTGACTTTTACTTAATGTTGCCTTCCTTTGGGCCTAAACGTATTTGTCACTTTTGACAGTATAGGGGTGTGCATATCACTTAAGTAAAAATACAGCCTACAAATATATGACTCAGATTACACGTTGTATAGCAGAGAGGTCTTGGTGTAGCAATTTCATTTTATAATTTAAATATTCTTGTGCATGGTTTTGCTGCTATGATGATAAAAGTGCTTATTTTCTCAGGTTTAAAATTTAAGGCAAAAGTTAAAATGATTTGACATTAGTGTTTTCCTTTACTTTTTATTTGATGATGTAAGCTCTAAATTTATACTGTTAATTTGTGTTTGAATATGGAGTTTGATCTCATAGGTGATCTTTTGTATCTAACCTCCAAGTCATATAAGCTCTGTTGCTATTTTAAGTTTATGGTGATGGGAATTCTGTAAACTCATTTCTAAATGTAAGTCAGAAGTATATAAATCATACTGTTTAAAAATTATTTGGAGCCTGGATATGTTACATATAAAGCTAAATAATATTTTGTTAGCTTTTGGATTAGTAGAAATTCAGTAATTCCCTAATAAATTATGTGGTGACCCCCCACCCCCCAGATTATAAGCCCCACAAGGAGATGGACTTTGTCCTTGTCCATTTTTGCCTGGCACATAGTAGGTTCTTATTACCTATTTACTGAATGTATGGATCTTAAATGGAAGTATTCAGGTTCTACTCATCTATAGAGTGCAATGAAAGTATAATATGATTTTTAACATTGTAAAATGAAATTAATCATTGGAGTTGGGGAACGAGGGATTTTTGAAATCTTATTACTGTTATTTTTTCGGTCTTCAGGTGACTTAATGGAAGGTGAACTCTATTCTGCACTCAAGGAAGAAGAAGCATCTGAATCTGTTTCTAGTACCAATTTCAGTGGTGAAATGCATTTCTATGAGCTTGTAGAAGACACAAAAGATGGCATCTGGCTGGTTCAGGTATCAGAAACAATGATATAAATGAATTTATTTTTACCAAAATAGCATTCCCCAGGTGGTAACACTTCTGTGTACTTATGTCAGGTTTCTTAAACATAACTCAGTTCTCATAGGGATGCTCCAGTGTCCCCTTAAAGAGATTCTGTAGACCAAGGAAAATGAATATTGAAGAGTGGGTGATGGGAAATGTTGGGGAAAGAGGGTTGACTACTTTGTTTACAATCAGCAGAAGCAAATTCATTTTAGTTGTTGGATCTTCATTAAAGTAAGAAGCACACATATATATTCCTTTAATTTAGTGATTTGTACTATTTCTCTTAATTTTTTTAAAATCCATTTTTTAACTCAGTGATCCAAATAATTTTTATATCTAAAGGAAGAACCTAAAGTAAAATAAATAAATAAATAAATAAATAAATAAAGGAATCCTTCTATAATGAGAGACAACTTTTATGACTGTAGACAAACTATTGTAGGGAATGGTGGGGGGTGCTCATTACTTTGCTTATGAAATTCATGATACTATAATTTTAAGCCCTAGCTCCCATGAAAATTGTGAGGTTTAATCAGCATATTAGACTTTTAGAGCTATGAAGGACTTTAAAAATAATCTTTTATGTTCCCAAAGTATAGTTTATGTACCATTCATGGTAAATAAGTGGGCACATATTATCTATCACTTACATATTTTAATGTAAATTAGAAGAATCAATATATGGAACATATACTTTCATAAATAATCACTTAGAGCTAGGCTAAAGTTATTTCAATTTTTAAAGTATAAGTTCCTTAAAGTATGATATTAAATAAATTAACAGCATGAATTCAGGTAAAACTATGATTCTGAACTAGGATCAAATCCCAGGTCCCCTCATTTCTTGTCCAGTGCTCTTGTCATTTCACACTGGGGCTGGCAAAGTTTGATTCAGGGTATAAAAAAACACAAAATAGCCGTGTTTTCGTAAATCTTTCAGTATGGGAACAGGACTGTAAAATGTGGTAGAAAACCTGAGTTCAGAGACCTTAGTTGCAGATCTGGTTCTGTCACTGATTTCTTTGTATGGTGATTAGACTTTCTGTTGCACATCATCTCAAATAAATACATATATAAAGAGAATGGAGTAATACCATAGTTCACTAGGCTAAAGGGCTAAGGTTTGGGAATTCTTCAGGTGATTGCATTGGATATCCATGACCTTTCCTTTACTTTCAATCTTCCTATTGTGTTTGACTTACTACCCTCCAGATAATCTAATTCAGTAATTTAAAGTGAATTTATTTTCCAATTACAGTTGATGTACAATGTTAGTTTCAGGTGTACAAGATAATGATCAGGCATTTGTATACTTTACAAAGGGATCACCTTGATAAGTTTACTATCCATCTGATACCATATGTGGCTATTACAATATTATTAACCATATTCCCTATGCGGTACTTTACGTCCCTGTAACTATTTTTATAATTGGCAATTTGTACTTTTTAATTTTTTTAATGCCTTTCAACTTTTTCACCCATCCCCTCCCCCCCACCCTCCCATCTGGTGACCATCCATTTTTTTCTCTGTATCTATGCTATGAATTTGTTTCTGTTTTGTTTATTTTGTTTTTTAGATTCTCTATATAAGTGAAATCATATGGTATTTGTTTTACTCTCCCTCTGACTTATTTCATTTAGTATAATACTCTCCAGGTCCATCCATGTTGTGGCAAATGGTAATTTTTCATTCTTTTTATGGCCAAGTAATACTCTGTTATATATATACCCCATCTGTTTCCAGTCGTCTATCCATGGACACTTAGGTTGCTTCCATCTTGGCTATTGTAAATAATACTGTGTGGACATAGGGATGCATTTTCTTGTCAAATAAGTTGTTCAGATTTGTTCAGATAAATACCCAGAAGTAGAATTGCTGGGTCATATGGTAGTTCTGTAATTTTTTGAAGAACCTCCATACTTTTTTTCAAAGTGGCTGCACCAATTTGTAGTCTCACCAACAATGCAAACAGGTTCCCTTTTCTCCACATCCTCACCAACAGTTGTTATTTATTGATTTATTGATGGTAGCCATTCTGTCAGGTGCAAGATGATACCTCATTGTGGTTTTGATTTGTATTTCCCTGACAATTACTTACATTGAGCATTTTTTCATGTCTTTTGGCCATCTCTGTTTTCTTTTTGAGAAGTGTCTAGTCAGGTTTTCTGCCTATTTTCAAATCAGATTGTTTGTTTTCTTTGGTGTTAAGTTGTATGAGTTCCTTATATTTTGGATATTAACCCCTTATCATTGGTGAATGTCTTCTCCCATTCTAGGTTGTCTTTAGTCTTTTCATTTTGCTGATGGTTTCCTTTGCTGTGCAAAAGCCTTTTGTTTGATGTAGTCCCATTTGTTTATATTTTCTTTTGTTTCTCTTGCCTAAGGAGCTACATCAAAAAAAATACATATTAAGAGTGATGTCAAAGAGGTCAAAGAGGTTACTATTTATGCTTTTTTCTAGATTTCTGGCTTCAGATCTTACATATTACTCTCTAGTTTATTTTGAGTTTATCATTGTATATGGTATAAGAAAGTGGGCCAGTTTCATTTTTTGCATGTATCTGTCCACTTTTCCCAACACCATTTATTGAAGAGGGTATCTTTACCTAATTACATATTCTTGCCTCCTTTGTCATAGATTAATTGACCATATTGGCATAGTTTAATTTCTAAGCTCTCTCTTGTTTCTTTGATCTGTGTGTCTGTTTTTATGCCAGTGCCATGCTGTTTTGATTACTCTAGCTTTGTAGTATAGTTTGATATCGGAGTGTGATACCTATAACTTTGTTCTTCTTTCTCAAGATTGCTTTGGCTATTCAAGGTCTTGTGATTCCATATATATTTTAGGATTATTCTAGGTCTGTGAAAAATGTCAGTGGTATTTTGGTAAGGATTGCATTCAATCTGTATATATCTTTGTAGTCAGTAATTTTTAAGTTCAGCAAAGGGAGAAACTGGGAGGGTATAGTTCATACCTTATCCACCAAATTCTAGATTATTTCTGTGTTAATTAGTTGGTATTAAAAAGTAAACTGTAGCACCTTTAAAGTTTTATAAGTAAATTGTTATTCCACATATTTTCCCAGATATTTATTTCTGATAGTCTGATTAAGGAGAACTTACTGATTTGGTAACTTTAGTTTTATTACTGAGGTTAAGTTGAATAGCCAGTCCTACTGCCCCATGTTCTGTGTTTAAATGTTTGTCCACACATTGAATGTTACCATAGAGATGAATGGTAAAAATGCTGAGCACCTTCCAAACCTGGGAAAGCCAGGTCAAAAGTCTGGAGATCTTTTGGTACGTATATTGGGTGGTGTTACCTGTACACAACAAACATATTCTGGTTCACGAATTAGCAATTTATTCTTGGCTTATAAATTATCTAATATTTTTTAATGTCCTATTAAAGTATCCATGGATTTAACTCCCTTATTATGTGACAGAATTTACAAAATATGTGTATGCAAGACCCTCAAGACATATCAGGAACATAAACCAGGTTAAGTCCTTGCTCATTCAGGCAGCTCGAATTTCATTTGGGAGAGTTAGGCTCTAAATAAATAAGTATTTAATATAACATCAGTTTGTGGAAAGTGCTAAGAAGAAAATAAGCTAGATCAGTTAGGGTAAGAAGATGGGGAGTGGCAAGGAATTCTCTGATAAGGTGACACTTGAATGAAGTGAAGATGAAATAATGAATGATAGTGAATGTTAGCATTATAAATTCTAATCACTAAATTATTATTGTCTGAATATTTTTAAACCTCATAGGTATTAATACTTTAAAATGATTTCTTAGAAAAATGAAATGTATTTATGTGGTTTTCTGTGTGTTAATGATGCAGTAGGAGACAAACATAAGCACACTTAATTTTTCCAGTGACCCTCAAGATTTGAGCACTGTCTGGCTCATATTCATTGGGACCAGTGGCTTTTATCTGTCAAATGGCTGAATTGGGTTGAGAGAACAGTCCCCAGTAGGACACTGAGAAGACTGAGATTGAAACCCTGTCTTTTGCACTCTGAACTCACCAGCTAACCTATCAGCACAGAAACTTTGGTGTAAGCTCTTAAAAGAAAGCTTTTTTTTTTTTAATTAAAAATACCTGCTAAAAATAGAAATATTTTCTTGGTTGCTTTGTCTTTCAGCTCAGGTTATATTTATCTAATTTCTTGTAAAAGATAACTTTCAAAAATTAGTTTTTAACAGTTTGAATTACTGTTCTTTTTTCTCATTATTTTAGAAGAAGCTGTCTAATTTGTTTACTCCATCTTTTTTTAAGTATATTTTAATGATTATGCTATTACACTTGTCCCATTATTTTTTCTCCCCTTTATCCTCCTCCACCCAGTACACCCACCCTACAGCATCTTCCCCCCTTAGTTCATGTTCATGGGTCATACATACAAGTTCTTTGGCTTATCCATTTCCTATACTGTTCTTAACGTTCTCCTGTCTATTTTGTACCTACCAATTATGCTTCTTATTCCCTGTACCTTTCTCCCACTCTATTTTTATCCTCCCCCTCCCCACTGATAACCCTCCACATGATCTCCATTTCTTTGATTCTGTTCCTGTTCTAGTTTGCTTAGTTTGTTTTTGTTTTCAGGTTCATTTGTTGATAGTTGTGAATTTGTCATCATTTTCCTGTCAATATTTAATCATCTCCTTTTTCTTAGATAAGCCCCTTTAACATTCCATATAATTAGGGCATGTTGGTGATGAACTCCTTTAACTTGACCTTACCTGGGAAGCACTTTATCTGCCCTTCCAATCTAAATAATAGCTTTGCTGGATAGAATCATCTTGGATGGAGGTCCTTGCCTTTCATGACTTGTAATACTTCTTTCTAGCCCCTTTTTGCCTCTAAGGTTTCTTTTGAGAAATCAGCTGATAGTCTTATGGGTACTCCTTTGTAGGCAAGTACCTCCTTTTCTCTTGCTGCTTTTAAGATTCTCT